CCCACGGGCCATATGTGGGTATGTTTGCCCGTTTGTTTTTTTACTTCAAAATCAGATATGTGCAGTGTGCATAGGAATTTGTCCATAATTTTTTTTAAACTGTGGTCCAGCCCTCCAAAGGTCTGAGGAACAGTGAACTGGCCCCCTGTTTAAAAAGTTTGAAGACACGTGCAGCCCCAGTCAAGTTTTCAGAGGACTGCACCCCAATTTACATCTGGATTGTAATCATATGAGACACCCAGTCAGCCAGCTAAGCCACTCCCAAATTCCTAACCCACAGAAACTATATTTTTGAAATAACAAATGTTTGTTGACTTTAGCCACTAAGCTCTTAAGTAATTTGTTATGGAGGAACACAAGCAGTAAAATCTGGACACATTTATATGGGACACTACAGGAAGCATCAAGGCTTGGAATAAATGCTATGCTGGTTTTCAGTACCCAGATTTTAATTCCAGGCTAGCCTGGCCCTGGGACACATCCATTGTGTATGAAAGAAAGGGGAAACATATTTGAAGTTATCAAATGTATCTCAAATAGAGGAAACATCATTTGTCCTTATGTGGAATTGTTAATAATCATACTTTTCTTGTGTTGCTATTGTGTTTTCTTGTGTTGCAATATTAACGGAACAACTTAACAGACTTCTGACAGACACAACAAAATATTCTGATATCAAGTGTGCTTTAAGACTGGAAGAGTGAAGGTAAAAAAGTCAATCCAGAGTAAAAGATGTCAACTCTGTGGCAGAGGATTTCAGCACATTTAACTCAAGCTTGTTAGTCTGATGGCGAGAAGAATCCTGCCATCTTGAATCATTTTACTCACTAAGCCCTAGACTGACAATGTTCTCTGTGTGCCGGTGTTCCTCTGTAGGTTAAGAAGTTAAGAGGAAGCAAGCAAGCAATATTATTATGGAATCAAGAGGTGTTATTCTCAAGCTTAAACTTCTTCACCCTCATCACATCTGCTTCCCAAAATATCAAAAATATCGAAAATCAGGAACTGTCAAAGGCAAATCAACTCAGATGGTGCCTATTTCGAGACTAGCATGTCAATAGTGTTTATACCCCTTCTTATACCACATAGTCTAATTACCTCTGATTATATATTTAAGGAAACTTTCATGCACTGTAAACACTGCAAAAATATATCCCTTCAGGTTTATATTTTCTCCATCTGGCAGAGACTGGGAGTCCCCAGTCAGCTAAAGTCCTTGACTAGGACACTTCACCTATAGTGCAAGGGGTAGGGAATGAATAACAATGACAGTCACTCATGAGCAATGCCGTGTTTGTCCTTTATTTGCCCATCTCATCATCCCCTAAAAAGCCTAAGAGAGGGTGCTCTCATGGCAAATTGAAAATCCAGATGGTACCTGCACTACCAAACATGGCCTCCCCACAAACTGACTTGGGGGCCAACAGTGCCACAATTCTTTGCCAGGTTCAAGGACAGCTACTAAAGGTGGAAAGACCATAGCCAAGGATATAAATAAGTGAGCAGGATGCCGACCCTAGTATGGCCCTTTGTATAGAATTGGTGATGGGTTCCTTTTTCCTCCTTTGTTAGGTAGCTTTCCAGTGAGTCCTGGGGAATTCTTGCAATTCAGATCCTCATCTATTTTTCCCTATGTTCCTGTCACCATAGTCTTAGAGTCAAGTAGTTTAAATTCCCAATAGCAAGCTCAAACTATTTCAGTTTAGGTTTTTATTCTCAGAATAGACTAGGCTTCAAAATGGCCCAGCAAATAAAGGCAGTGTTCTTAGAGGGCTTCTCCCATGGGCAAGCTCCTGATGAAGATTGGGATCATTAGGGAGAACAGGGGGGTCTCAGGAGTGCAAGGAAAAAGCAGAATGGCTTCAAAGCATGTTGTATTTTTACACAGAGACAGACTTACCTCTAAAACAGATGAGTCAGAGAAAAATGATTGTCATTTTTCTAATATTTAAATGATACTTATGATAAGCCCCACAGCAAACTCACACTGTATTTCAAGAACACAATAAAAAGCAGACAACTGACACTGGTTCCCAAGATGTCTTTAACTTCTACTCAGCCAGAATGAATTATGAAATCGTATACCCATGTGTTCAGCCATTTATTTACCTATTAAGCATCTTTTACATACAGGGCACTGTGCTAGGTGTTGAGTGAGCATTGTTGAGCAAAGAAACAAAGAAAAAGATATGATTCCTGAGCTTGCAAAGTTTATAGTCTAGAGGGGAAGATAGAAATCAAATGTGTGTGTGTGTGTGTGTGTGTGTGTGTGTGTGTGTGTGTGTGCAGAGAGAGAGAGGAGAGAATAGACAGAAGTAAAGAACTAATAGATGAAAAAAATTATACTAAAATGGCGCATTTAACCCAGTCATGGAGACTAAGGGAAGCTTCTATGAAGGAAGAGTGATTGAATTGAATCATGAAGAAACAATGTGTTGTTATCTGCAAGGAGAACATATAGAGGGAGGAACATGTATAAAGGATGTATGGCAGAAAAGGAGGACAAATTCAAGAAACTGAAAGAAACCATTACAGATGCATTGCAAAGATCAAGGAGAAGCCTAGTGTAAGAGAAAGCTATAAACGTGAACATGGGACAGACCACACAGGGTCTTCAAGACCATGTATGCAAAAGAATGGGCTTTTGCCCTCATGGCAAGGGGAAGCTATTGGAAGGTTTAAAGTAAAGGAGAGACACAGTTTAGTTTTTGTTTTAAAGGGACCCTTCCAGCTATATTGTAGAGAGCAGATATAGGAAGTCCAGAAGGGATTTAAAGAGACTTGTTGGAGCTACTATGGTGGTTGATGTGAGAGATGGGTGCTTGTACCAGTGAGGGTCTGTGGGCCCAGACGCCGCTATTGACCTGTTGTCTCTCAGACCCCACCACCTGCCTTTGTGTACTCTGCTCTATTCTGCTGGGAGGGGGATCTGTGAACTACCTTTCCTAGTTTCCTTTGTCTACTAGATTCTTGTTAGGTTCTGCCAATAGGAGGCACTGGCAGGAGGCCAGAGAGTAAAAGAAAAAGTATTCCTCCTTCTGGTGCTGATGGTGGCAATAGCCATCAGCTGCAGGTGGTTGCTGCTGTGGTAGCAGGATGGGAGGATTCTGAACTGCAGCAGCCAGGGCGGTTGCAGGGCTGGCTCACGCAGCTCCTCCTCTGCACACGCTGCACACTGCAATGCAACCTGTCTCCAACAAGCAGGGCAGGATGCAGCTGTATAGGCTTCACCCCAGGACACTGGCAGCTTCTTCTATCTGAGTGTCATAACTGCTTCTTTCTACCTCTTCTAGGCTCCTCTACCTCCCTTTTATTCTCTCAGCCCTTCCTACAAATTCATAACCAATTCCCTGTATTTAATTCCTTCTGTTTGAATACCTAGGATGCTTTTCTTCTCTCGGATTAAACTTAGGCTAAAACAGCTGAGAAATCAAAATTCACTAAATTCAACTTCTTGCCATTAGATTATCCTTCATAACAGGAGGCTACCCATTTGACTCTGTTTGGAAAATTTTGATGACAGAGAGCATGCTATTTAGTGGAGAAGCCCAGTGTACTGATGGTAATCTCTACTATTAAAGTCTTCCTGAGAATAACCCTGTATCTTCCCATCCATTCACTTTAGGTTAATCATTGGACACTATTCAGCATGAGTGCTTTGTACACCTGACTTCAACTAACTGAAAATGGCTGTCCTATCTTCTCAGATATTCCTGCATATGCCCAGTGCCTCCAAAACGTCCTCATAATTTCTGAATTCCTCACTCCTTTGCCCATGCTCCTTTTAATTTTGTCTTAGCCACAAAACTTTATCCACATGAACTTGTAGATAGAAGCCCTCTGAGATGGTAGAGCTGCTCTTGAGGAGCTGGGGTGGGAATTGGGTTCCATCCTCTCCCCAACCAGCCCTTCTCTCTAATATTGTGAAGGCTCTGGAGGTACTGCCTCCAAACTTACATTGCTCTAGAATATTAATTTCCTCATTAAATATATCATCCACCTAGAATTGTGCGCAACGTTCTCACAGTGTGGTCCCAATGGTTCAGAGCACTGGATCTGAACACACTACAAATGCAATGCAGCCTAAGATTGCATTGGATTTTGTGGGGGTTTTGTTTATTTGCTTTTGGAGTCATCTTATTCTTGGCTCATAATAATCAACAAATATATTTTGAACATACACTGTGTACCTAACACACACTGTGTAGGTCCCAAGGAGAATTAACAAATCAGAAGGAAGAGAAGCAGGGTAAGAAGGAAAAGAAGAATTAGGTATGGTACTGCCCCACAGGATCTTAAGAACTAGTTGGAGAAATTATATACAAGCCCATGGAAAGATGCCAAAGCACTATAATTGGTAAATATTAAAGGCTATGTCAGCAGTATAAACAATCCATTATATTGGCACTCAAAGTAGGAATAATTGCTTAATTTGGGGATAACTAGAGAATGTTTCAACAAGCATGACATTCATCTTTTATGATGAATAGAACTTAAATATGTGGGAAAGTATCTGAAAAGTATGTCTATCTACTAGGAAAATGACCTTCTTCATGTATTCATTGATTTTTTTTTCAAATATTTGTCAATAACTTCTATATTCTAAGCACTTTGTTGGGGCCAGAGGAGACATGGTTGAAAGAACTATTCAAGGATCTTACAATATCATAGGCAAAGATGTGCAGGAAGGAAAGTGTGATTTTTGTTGTAGACAGACAAAATAAGGTAGCTGTATTTTCAGTGGTGAGTTCATAAAGGACTAGTTGGAGAATAGTTGCAAGAGTAGTTTGGGATCAGAGTGGAAAGAGGCCTTTGATGCCAGATTAATAATCTGGAGCTTTATCCTTTCATTCAAATTACCATCTGACTGTGTTACAAATTACTCCAAAATGTATTATCATAAAACAACCATTTATTGTGCTCACGGTTTCTACAGGTAGGAATTCAGACAGAACACAGCAGGGACAGCTTGTCTCTGCTCCATCGTGACTGGGGCTCACCTGGAAGACTCAAACACCGAGATCTGGAATCATCTGAAGGCCCAATCACACATATTCTGGAGAATGCTGCTCACTGTTGGCTAGAGGGGTCTCAGTTTCTCTCCAAGTGGCCTCTCCAAATGGGCTAGCTCAGACTTCCTTACAGTGCAGTGGTTGTGCTCCAAGGCAAAGCATTGAAAGAGATAGTTAGATATATACACACACATACATATAAATATATATACACAGATAAAATATATACATATATACATAATATATATAACATGTACACATACATATCCTTATAAGAGATAGGCAGATAGAGATAGACAGACAGAGAGAGAGAGAGAGAGGGAGAAGGAGAGATAGGCTATATACTTTTCTGTGATTTAACATTGCAAGTCACATTTATCACTTTCATCATGCTCTTTCGGGTTGGAGCAGTTATAAGCCTTTCTTGGTTGGAGGAGTGTCCGTCACATTGTAAGAAGAACATAGGTAAATAGAGCTTCAAAAAACACCATCTGCTACACCTTTAGATAACACTAAGTCATTTGAATAGAAAAGCTCTCCAAGAAGCTATAGTTTAGGAATATTAATCTGATAGCAAAGATAGAATGTAAATGGATCATAGAAATGGATAAAACAATTACCCAAGTAGAACTAAAGGAGAATCTGGCATTTGGCTTCTTGTGTATGAAAACCATTATTCTCAGTTTCATTCCTCTTCTGCCCCTAGTCTCCCCACTGGCAATCTTAATGCTCTATGTACCAAAGTGTATTCTATGAAATATCAGTGCCATGAGCTGCTCCAACAAAAGAAGATACTATGTTCAAAAGGATGCAGACTCACCACAGACTTTATCCTCCCCTTGGAAATTTTCAATGTTCCTTAGCATATTAAAACCTCTCAGAAAGTCAGCAGTTTTAAAAAAAAAATCTTTTTAACATTGTTTTATCCAGATCATCTCCATCCTCTTTGACTACTGAACTCTTTCGGCTTTTCACTAATTAACATCCTATGGAACTGGCTTGTGCCTCAGTTGCCTCTGCGCCCAGAGGCACAGAAAAAGGCCAGGCCACTAATCAATCAACAAGTACTCATCAAATGCCTAATTAGAAATAAGACTGAAGTCAAATGGAGCACGTATTGTACTAATAGTATTCTTCATCCAATAAAGTAAAATTAAAAAGTAATAAAAGCAATGCAAACTTTGACTTGTTCCAAGAGTGTCTAAGAAAGATTCCAACGAAGGACACTCATAAGAATTTAGATTTGTTCAAAGGATACTTGTTGTTGAATGTTTTTACACCCATGAAACCTCAGGCAAGCCTAAATTATTGGCAAACTTTTATTTTTAAATAAAAGGTAAAAAAGTGTTTGTCTTCCAAAGATTGCTTTGTATCAGGCTGAAACTCCTGCTTGCCCACCGAGGGAGTTTTAGAAGAAAGTGTGCCCCCAGCAAAGAACCCCATGTGCAGTGGAGCACCCCGGCAAGGCAAGCAGGAGACCGTCCTATAAATCACCCCTGGCATCTCCTGGGGGGCCTTCAGCTGGTTGAATGGTGACAAGGCTGTGTCACTCTCCTCTTTGTTAGCAAGATTGATCACAGACAGACTCAGAAACTTTCCTTTGTGAAAGCCTGCTTTCTTCTGCCCCATCTCCTTTCACCCTTTTCTTGCTTCTCTCATCTTTCCAAGCTCCTTGCTTCTGGCTGTCCTAACAAATACCTTTGCCTGGACAAGGCAAACTCATTCGCATAGAACCCCTCAACATCCCCTGGCCTGCCAGGTGCCAAGTTGACGTCTCAATCTGCTGTCAAGAGCAGGCTCCAAGCTAGAACGTGGCCTGCTATTGCTGGGATGAAAAATAAATAAAAACTAAAACTCTATTGAAGATTAATTCTTCAGCTGCTTTTCAATCTCATAAAGTATTCTTGGTCTCTCTGTTTTGTCCCTGGCCCCTGGCCTCTTTCCTCTAATAGCTTGAACTCTGTGCTTGATATGCAAACTAAATGGCATATTTAGTTTGCACTTGCAGTCCCATTTCTTTTGCATCTATCCTTTCTTCCAAATCCATTCTGAAAAACACCACGCCTGGATAGATGCAAGCATCCACCTCCTCTGCTCCCATTTATGGCATAGCCAAGATGATTACACTCCAATCCCAGTTACACAGGGGCCAAAGCTCCAACCTCCAATTCTTACTCTCGTCTTTGGCCAGCTCCCAACCCATTCAGCCCAGTGACAGCGCCAAAGTTCCCCCACTCTCCTTAGACACCTACACAACGCTTACCCCACCCTGAGTTCTGCTTGGGATGCTCCTCCCTCTGATTTTCACCTGCTAGCTCCTTCTTTGTACATGGATATTTACTTAAATATCTCCTCAGTGAGCTTTTCCCAAGCAATCTACATAAAGCAGTCAACTAGGCTCTCTGTCAATTCAACCAAAATTCCCTGCATAGCTCTTAGAAAGTAGTATCTGATATTTACTTGTGCATCTTCTGCTTGCTGCTCTGTCCCCAGGGTCTGTCACTGTGCCAGACAGAAAGTAAATGCCCATCAAATGGATTTTTTTGCATAATATTTATTTTTATTTTTATTTCAGAGTTTTATGGAGGTAACACATTTTGGTTATGCAATTTTCTTTTGTACATTTGAGTCAAAGTTATAAGTGTGCCCTTCACCCAGTTAGTGTTATTTGTACCTGTTAGGTGTGAATTTACCCATTGCCTCCTCCCCATCCCACTTTGTTGATTTCCCTTGAGTTTTTCTTCTATATGTGCAAGTAAGTGTTGATCAATTAGTTCCAATTTAGTATAGAGTACATGTGGTGTTTGTTTTTCCATCCTTGTAATACATCACTAAGAAGAATGGTCTCCAGTTCCATTTAGGTTTTTACAATAGATACGAGATCATCCTTTCTTTTTTTAAGCCTGAGTAGTGGTCTATGGTATTCATATACCACATTTTATTAAATGGATCTTGAATGAGTTAATGAAATACTCAATTGCAGAGTGTGAGCACACATACACTATGAGGGGAGAGTGGCAGATTACAGGGAACTTTAAGTACCCGTTCAAGATGTGTCCTCGTAAAGCTGAGCCGTGGCTGTGTGGGGTTCTCCCGCTTGCTCAGCTGCGGTGCAGGTATTAAGCAGACAGACAGATGATGTTAAGTATGGCTGGGGTTTTGCCAACAGAGTATTACAGAGTAAGACAGAGACCAGGAAGGCCAGGTCTTTACAAGGGAGTGTTTTTAATGTTGGATCTGGGACTCCGTGCTGGAAAAGGAAGTACTTAAGGGAAGGGGGCAGAAAGTAAAAAGTGGTAGGAACAAATAAATTAGGGTCTAAATGAGGATGAAGAGCTGAAAAGTTAGGAGGTGCCGCTCACAGAATAGCAGGTTTGGAGGACAGCTTTCAGAGGAACTGCAATTATTAATTGGTAGATAAAGAAAAAGAGAAGAGCCAGACCCTACGCTAGCCTGACAGTGGAGCCACGGGCTTGATGTACAAGTCAATAGAGGTCTTCACCTGACCCCCGCTGACCACCTCTCGGCACACCTCCTGTGCATTTGTACGTGCAAGGAACCTATGTCCCTCGTCCTGCCTTGTGTTTCATCACAAAAGTCTCCTTCTGCTCGTCTACCTTTTGAACCAGTCAAGCCCTACCCAGGGAGAGAGGAAACAGGGAGGAAAGAAAACCACATCTTACTATATATTCATTAAGATGCACTTTGTCACCCTCTCAAGGAAGCTTACCCCCTTCATGCACCCCTCTCCACTCCGCTACTGTGATTAGAGAACTTTCCTTATACATCAGAGTGCTCAGGGCATTTCTCTATCATTCCCTGCTGTGTTGCTTCAAAACATCTACGCATGAATCTGTTTTCCCCACCAGACTTTGCATCCTATGAGGGCAGGACGATTTTTTACTCATCTTTGTTCCCAAGCACCACGTCTAGGGCACGACATATAGTGGTGATGACTAACATTTGTTGAATAATTGAATGGATAAATAAGTGGATGGATTAGAGCACAGAACAGCAGACTGGCATGAATGCTATAATGACACATCCCAGGCAGACTCCTAGGTCACCAGGTCTCCTGTAGGGACCAAAAGCCACCAGGCTGTCTCTTCCAGCCCTACCTCACAACACTCACCCTGCACCTCACTCAAGTGTCGGGCAGAGATGATCTAAGCAAGTCCCTCTGATTCAGTTCCCACATCTGAATACGGACACAGAGGCCACCTTGAAAGTCCTTTGAGTCCTTTGGCATAAGCCATCTATAAACACAGGCTTTATTGATGAACTGATATTTGCTCAGTTCTTAAAGGTCCTCGGGGAAAATAAACTCTGGGAAAGTTCAAAGCGCACTTGAGCTCCATGGGAGGCAGCCCTATTTGTTTCTCTAGACATACGTCTCCTACTCCTACTTGGAGTTTGACTTCTAATTGCCAAATCATTACTTCCAGTTATGAGCATTTATTGTTCAAACTAATGAGGTGCCTCCGAAAAAATATTTTCACAACTTGCTTTTGAACATTCTGAGAAGTTCTTTCTTAGAAGCTACAAACGGGGTCTTTGTGAGAGAAGTCGCCTCCTGCCCAGACCAGGTGGGCCGGGCCCGCTCCGTGCTGACAGGAACGCTGGCCTGAAGCGTGTCCTCACAAGGGCAAAGCCAGCAGGAGACAGAGAGAGAGAGAGAGAGAGAGAGACTCGGCTCACGGTTCTCAAGAAACTTGGCCCCTGGGATGGGTCCCTGGGATGAAGACGTGTGATTTTGCCACAAAGTCCGGCTGGCCTCTGACCTTTGCACCCACTGACGGTGCGTTCGGGTCTCTCCTCCCCAGGCTTGTCCGGGGGGGCCCCCTCCATTGTGAAGGCAGGTCAAACCCTGGGTCAGAAACTAGAACTGTGTGTGCTCATGTTTCTCAACCCAGAGGTACAAATAGTAGCAAAACCTAGGGAACTTTTTGAAAGCATATGTGTCTAGACTCCCTAAACATCCCCTCCCCGGAATTCCAGCAAACTCTCTTCTCATCCCCAAAACCCTAGATATTCTATTATGTTTCTGTTATATTTGTCCTGCTAATACTCAGGGTAAAATAAAAGTATTTCAAATTATTTTTAAGTTTATACTGGAGACAGTAAAGGTAGCTGTCACCAGGAAACTGTTCTGATAAGTTAGAGACGACAAGGAAGTTATATCCATGAGTCAGCTCTGGCAGTCAGCAGGGACCTCCATGAATTGACAAGTACTCTGGAGACCACGTAGCAAGGGAAAATGCTGGCAGTGATTACTGATGTCTGCCAC